TATATATACAAATAAAAACATATATTAAAAATATTAGTAAAATAATATTATTATTTGTATTAGATATTATAATATTATAATATTATACTAGTTTGTCCCGAGCAACATGTATAGCCTTGCAATTCTTTTACTAATTTTAAAATATTTACTATAAGTAATTTGAATGAGACTTAATTTGTTTATACAACTACTACATAACCTAATGTAACAAAACTACTGAACCAATACACATTAATTCGACTAAACTTTTGAGAAATTTTAGTTTTTATATATATTTAAATAATTTTAATAAAAATTGAAAATTTAATTTTTGCGAAAAAAAATTTGCATTTGAAAAAAATTTACTGAAATTTAACACATGTAGCTAACATGTGCCATAAACTCACACAATATAGCAAAGTGTAATTACACGACACACCAGCCTACCTGTCCCTAAAACCTACCTGAGCTCAACAAAAATTTAAAATTTCCCATAGAAATAACATTACTTTAAATAAAAATTGAAAATTTTAACACAAATTGAAAATTTTTGCATTTGAGAAAATTTTACAAAAATTTAGCACAGGTAGCTTACCTCCCGGTGCCCTGTAACTCATATAATATAGCAAAGTGTAATTACACGACAATAGCCTACCTGTCCCTAAAACCTACCTGAGCTCAATAATCATTTAAAATTTCCCATAGAAATAACATTGCTTTAAATTAAAATTGAAAATTTTAACACAAATTGAAAATTTTTGCATTTGAGAAAATTTTGCAAAAATTTAGCACAGGTAGCTTACCTCCCGGTGCCCTGTAACTCATATAATATAGCAAAGTGTAATTACACGACACCAGCCTACCTGTCCCTAAAACCTACCTGAGCTCAATAATCATTTAAAATTTCCCATAGAAATAACATTGCTTTAAATTAAAATTGAAAATTTTAACACAAATTGAAACTATTTTCAAAATAATAAAATATATTTTTTTAAAATACAATCAATAATAAATTGAATAAAACAATGACATCGAAGAAGGACTCGTTTGAACGTTTCGGCGATGATTTAACTCAATGGCTGTTAAATTATTTACCAATTGATGACAAACTAAAACTACAAGCGGTGTCCAAACAATGGTTACAATTGATGTCATTTGTTTCGCAAACACATCTGGTATTTGATGACAAACTATTGGATAGTTTGGGATTGTCTTATGTGGACAACGAAGCAAAACATAACGGTTTTAATGCTAAACAAGTCGTAAAATTATTTGAAACAATTGTAACAAAATGTCCAAAACTAATATCAGTTGATATCAATAATGTTAATTCAATGCCTACTCTAATGGATTTGTTGATCAAATACTGTGAAAATCAATTGAATTATCTAAGACTTAAAGTACATCAACGAGATTATTGGTCAAACAGGTGTCACCGAAATTGTCCTATAATTGGATGGCCTGACAGGACTTTATATAAACTACATTACGACAGATGTTTGTTTTATAAAGTTTTCGATAGTTTTCCAAACTTAAAGTCATTGGACATTATGAATGCCAGTAATACCTATTGGTATCATTTAATCAGTGGTGACGGCAGTGGAGAGACTCATGTATTACCAAAATCAATGAAATCGTTGTCAATATATTGGAAACCATCTAAAGTGTCGACAATTGGCATGTTTGCCAACACATATGGCCAACAAATTCAATCATTAAATATAACTATTCAAGGCATACAACCAGCGGAAGACCTAATCATCGATGGTTTGTCACAAATGCCACGATTGAGACAATTGACACTAGATTTACATTTTTTCTCTAATTATGAGTTTATTTTACAAACATTGCTATTAATTGGCCGCACGTGTAATGTTATCCGGGATTTAAGTCTATTTGGTTTGGATTGGAAGTATTACCAGTCGTTTCGTACATTGACTTTAGCAATCAATGAACACGTGCCGCACGTGCGACGATTATCAATTGGCCAAATGTTATTAGAAAATTTTTATTATACTGTTAATAATAATAATAATAACGTTAATAATATCATTCAATTGATGAGCTCTGATCTAAACCGTATGAACCGATTGACACATTTAACACTTGAGTTTAAAAAGTGTTACTCAATTAGTGACCAGTTTTTCGGTGACATTGACCGACATCTGCCGCGACTACAATACTTGAGTATAGACTCTGTTGACATTTCATCAGCCGATGTCATACAATCGTTAGCACAGTTATCACACTTGACTGATGTCTATTTAGTACTTGACTTCAAATCAACTGTTATTATGTCAATGAAGTTATTTATCGACAATTGTCTGCTCCGTAATACAAAAGTTGGACACATTTGTATCAAATATAGTAATAGTAGTGATGGACAACAAATACTAACCTATGGTCGATATACTACCGTTTAGTTGGCTATCTATTAAATAATTTAAGACTAAGCTTTGCCTGATGTGTTTTTTAATATTTAATTTTATAATTTTCATTATATATCACATATATATATACTTTTTGTTTAGCATAAATTTTGTTTTATATATTAATTTTTAGTAAATTAAAATAAATTTTTTAAAATTAAAAAAAACTATTTTCATATTATTTAATATTATTCTTATTTCTTATAAAAAATATAAGTACTGTAAAACATTAGTTATTTTCTTAATATTATTAAAAAAAAAAGATTTATAACAACAACAAAAATATTGTTAATAAATATTTATATCATATTTATATATTTTAAATCTTAAATTTTTTTATACATTTGTTAAGCAATGTTATAAAATGTAATAAATATTTGGAAATATAGTATACCATTACATAAATATCAATAATATTTTTGCTTATATATATAGTACGAATCTTTTATAAAGTTATATTAATAGATATCTTATATTTATTTATTTTATTAATATATATATACAGGTATATATCGATAAATAATAACAATATTAATTAATATATTTTTACATGTGACACACGTGCGGCGATTATCAATTGGGCAAATGTTAATTGAAAGCATAAATTATAATAATAATAATAATAACATTAATAATATCATTCAATTGATGAGCTCTGATCTAAACCGTATGAACCGATTGACACATTTGACACTTGAGTTTAGAAAGTGTTACTCAATTGGTGACCAGTTTTTCGGTGATATTAGCCGACATCTACCGCGACTACAATCTCTGAGAGTGGACTCAGTGGACAAAACTATTATCGATTCCATAGAATCGTTGGCACAGTTATCACACTTGAATGATCTATATTTAGTTTTCAAATCTACTGAAATTATTTCAATAAATAATTTTATCGGTAACTGTTTATCCCGTAATACAAAAGTTGGACACATTTGTATCAAATATAGTAACAGTAGTGATGGACAATAAATCCTAACCTATTGTATATATGTTTGCTAGTTATAAGAAATTACAGACATATATATTACATATAAATGGATAATCTTTTATCATATTTAACATTAATATATTTATTTAACTATAATGTCTGTTAAATTATTAAATTAAATATATTAAAATTTTTTGACTTAATTATGCCTAATGTATAAATTTTTTCATATTATTATTAATCAATTAATTAATATTTTGAAACTACATTGATAATATTTAAATACAAATTTTTTTTGTTGATTAAACAAGATTATAAATCTGAACTGTTTTTTTTAGTATATTTTATAATAAATATATATTTAATTTATAATTATCATTATATATATCATATATTAAACTTCAAACTACTACCAGTGCTGCACACACTCACTACTATTGACATCACAACAAATCTATGTTCTAACTGTGTATGCGATTCAATACTATAGTTCACAGTCAGTCAGTAGTCAAACACACATACAGTACATACAAAATACAACTTTCCGTACGCTTCCTAAACACAACTTTTTCATTGAAATTTTTATTGCATACCAGTGCTTATAAGTTGAATGAAATATACAGTATATAAAATTATATAATATAGATATATATATATATATATATATATATACTCTCGTCTATTATATTTTTATAGTATAATATAATATTTTTTTATTGAATGTCTTTCAACTTAAACCTCTCTCTCTCTCTCTTTTTCTCGTTATAATAAATTTTATGATAAAAGTATAAGTATGTGATATTATGTATACATATATGTGTGTTGATAAGCACCGGTAGTTGAGTTGAAAGGAGTAACACTATTACTAGTAGTATAGTACTAAAGATCTACTATATTTTATCGGTGGTCATCATCGCAAACATACATACACATCAACACCACTAAACATGCCAAACAACTACTTAAACTACTACTACTATATCAGTGATATACCAGTGCTATTAAGTGCACCGTTTGGTTGATGAGAGAGAGAGAGACAACAAAAAATATATAACAATTCTTTACTATTAGTTTTTTCTTTCAAAAATAGTCAATACCTATAATGTGTTTGAAAAAAATAACATATTATTTATAATATGTGTGCTATTATTATAATATCGTATTTTTAGATTTTTTTTGTTGAAAATAAATATTGTTTTATCTATATATTGAATATATATTTTTTATAAGTTGTGTTTTAATAAAAAAAACAGTAAAATTGTTTTGTTTTTAAAAAAATTAGTTTATTATGAAAAAGTTATCATGTTTAATTATTTAATATTGTTATTAATAGTAATTTTACAGTACATTAATATTAATACAGTTGTAATGTTATTAATTTTTTAATTGAGTGTGTATTACATACTATGAAAATAACAAAATTATAATTAAAAATAATAATAAATATTTAAATTATTAGTATATATTAACAGTATATCATTCAATACTATATATGTTTTATTTAATACATTATTTTTTTTTTGATGAATGAATCAATTAATTAATTAATTAACAACAATAACAACAAAACATTAAAACTACTGTACAATACATAGAAATTACTGTTAATTAATTGTTAAAAATAATTAAACAACAAAAAAAAAGTCAACTTAATAACTATAATGGATCCCAAATGGTTTGCCGACAAAGTTGCCGACAGTCTACTAAACAATGGGTCGCTGGCATACAACCGGTCAGGTGGTGGTGGTGCCGGCGGTGGTGGTTACTACTATAGTAACGGTAGCCTAGGGTCATCATCGGCAATGGACAGTAGTGCCTATCCACTGGAAGCACTGCGACCATCCCTACAATGGGCACTAATAGTACTCTACTCTCTGACCGCTATCATAGCATTTTGTTCGCACGTAACCGTAATTATGGTCCTATATTATGGTAAAAAATCGTCGCGTGAATTGAAAAAATTTCTAATAAACCTATCACTGAGCGATGTCTGTATGGCCCTGTGCTCTATACCATTCACTTATACACACTTTATGCTCGGCCATTGGGTATTTCACCCGTTTCTCTGTCCGCTGGCATCGATGGCCACCATTACGGCACTGTGTGTGTCGGTCTATACGATGATTGTTATCGGTATCGATAGGTAAGCAAAATAATTTTATTTCCATATTTTTGTTTTGTAAAAGTATTTATTTATTTTTTTTATAAAAAAAACTTTATAGCTTTTAGATTAGCAGTAGAAAAACAACAACAAAAAGTTTAATTATTTTATTTTGTTTGGTCTTAAGATATTTATTTTTATTTTTTGTTGTCTAAGTAGACTGTGATTATCAGCACTGGGAGCTGTGTGTGTGTGTGTGTGTGTGTGTGTGTGTGTGTGTGTGTGTGTGTGTTGTGTGTTGTGTCAGTACGTGTTATTTGTCGCGCTATCACACAAATGCAGACTTTTGCTCTCTTTTTTATTTCTCTCTCTCTCTCTCTCACTAAAGATGATTAAAAAGCTTTATAGATATAAACCAATAAATACCATATATATATATTAATATATATATCTGATATATGTTAGCTATTTTGTGCCAATTATCCATTAATCAGTGTCAGACCAGTATTGAAGAGTTGACACACACATAGACACATACATAACATATAGAGTGTACTGTATATTATATACACACATTCACACATTCACACACACACACAAACATACATACAAATAGATAGGGTATTGGATTTTCATGTTTATTATAGCAAAATAGAGATAAATATTTTTTTTACTGTTGTTGTTGTTTTTGTTTAGTATTATCATTTGCAATATACTTATCTAATAAATAATATTTATATATTGTAGCGATATATATAACTTATACGATAAAAAAATATTGGCTATTTTTTTTGAGCCCATTATAGCCAATACAAACACACACTTCATCAATGTTTTGTATTTATTAAGATAAATGTTTTGATGATGCATTTGATGTTTGCTTTTTGACCATAAGTTTTAAGATAGCTATTTAAAAAATAAAATAAAATTTAAAATTGGATCTATTTTTTGAATCAAACCAATAGTGGGCTATTCTTGATAAAACTATAAATTTAAAATCCAATACAAATTGCCACTATTTGATGTATTATATAATAGTATATATATATATTGTATATGTAATATATGTATTGAAATAAACAAAATAAAACTATAATATCAACACAAAATATATAGAAAACCTATTGAAAGAAATCATTTTAATCTAATTTAACAGATAAATGGATAAATTGTTTTATATAATAAAAATAATAAAATATAGATACATATAATACTACATAAACTCTTATATATTGTCTATAAAGAAAAATAAAATTTTAATTTAACGAGTGGACATGGATTTATTTTTTTTTTTTAAATAATCTTGGTAATTTGTTTTAATAGAAAAAGATTGTTTTTATTTTATTTTTTAAAATATAAATAAAATGTATGTTATTTTTATTGATTATATTTAACTACTGAGTATAGTAAATTTATTTTTATTTACTTTTTATTAACTCAATTAATTAAAATATTTAGCATATTAAATTGCACACACACACACACATTTACAATAAAAAAATAGACTAGTTAATTTAAAATGTAATACTCTATTAAATTTATTTTAATATGTATACAGTGTACTATACACACTATACTATGTAATCTTAGGTAAATAAGTTAATAAAAATGTAAATTTTTGCTGTTTTAATATCAATATATATATATTGTTGATATAGTAGTAGTAGTAGTAGTAATAATAACAGTTAAAATGTCAATTAATTAAACTAAACTTATTAATTGTGTTAAACTAAATTAAATTTAAGCAAAATCTATAATATATTATCAAATGTAATGATGCATTAAAATAGTTTTAATCCTTTCCAGATATAAATTATAAATTATATTATTTTTATTATATATAAAACACATTAAGCTGAAAGACATAAAAATTATTATTTTATTAAAATCATTGCATAATATATATATATTATATATATATAAATATAAATCTATAATATATGATAATAATATATGATATATTATAGTTATCCATAATTTACTGTCAAAATTATTACTCTATTGGCATTTAGTTTAGTTAAATATAGTACAGTAAAACTAAATATAAATTTTTGATTATATTAACACGTTTTTACTTTTACTTGATATTAATATACTTTTTTATTAATATTTGCATTTATACAGTATATATCATATAAAATTATTTTTTAAATGCTGTAAATATTTACTTAAATTTTTATACTAATGTATTTCCTACATAAAAAAATTCATATAATTTTTTAATCAAAACAAAAATATTTTGTTTTTTGCATAGAAAAAAATAGTTTTAAAAATTTAAAATAAACTTTCATTTAGGTTGCAAAATGTGATTTATCTTTACTTTTATTGATCTATAAAATATACCGTAAAACCGTATATCTATTTGACACGTATGAGAAAAATAAATAATTAAAAAATTAATTAAATTAGACAACCATACAGTGTGTGTGTGTGTATTAATTTAGGGCTACATTTTTGTATATAATATATAAATTTTTTATATACAGTATATCTTACATGATATTTACAAATGTTGCTTAATTTTTTTTTGTCTTATTTTATTTGTTTAATTATGTAACAAACAAACAAAAAAAACTAAATAAATAATAAACATTAGTAATATCATGTTAACATTATTTTTTACTTTATATATATAGTTTTATTTAAATATATATAAAATAAAATTTTCTAGTTATATATGTATTGGAAATTGAAAAGTAATTTTTTTATTTCATTCAACATGAATACCCTTTATTTTATTTTAAAATAAAAATTTCTGTAAATGTTATACAATATTAGATTTTTATTTCAACTTCAATATTGCAATATCTTTCAATAAAAAATATATATATATATATATATCTATTTAAATATTATTTAATTTTCACACAAATTTTTAAGCGTTAAACACAAGTGTCTTTTATTTTGTTTATTTAATTCAATGACAACTATATTGAATTTTGTCTATTTTCGCAGCAAATTGTTAAAAAAATTACAAAAAATTAAATTAGAGAAAATATAATAATAAAAAAGAAAATAGTGTCAAAACTTTTTTTTTTTGTTATTCATGACATTTGATATTTTTAGATCACAAAATAATTTTGTTATATATATATATATTTGATAATATCAAAAATATTATGTGCGTCACTAATATAATAATATAATTAAATTTATGAAAATAAATACATGATATATAGTGTCATTTTTATAAAGATTTTAATAATTTTTTCAATAACTAACTGAGAGAGAGAGAGAGAGAGAGAGAAAGAGAGAGAGAGAGAGAAACAAATCTATGATTTGTTTCCCCCGTTTTAACATTGTATACATTCACGGGGTTTTGAGAAATCTTAAAATATGTTTAACTATATATATTGTTATAGCATTGCGTTTATAGCACTCTATGACAGTCGGCAGTTATATACCTGTATGGCTAGTGTTTCGTATAAATATATATATATATATATATATATATTCCGATATTATTACTATTAACGTCTCATGAAAACTACTAATATGTTTAGTGACCCGTCCGGGTTCTGAACCCGGGTTGTCGGGTATCTAAAAATACCGACAATTTAGTTTCTCGGCCACCGATACCACATTAGTGAGTGAGAGATATAAACAGAGAGAAAAAAAAGTATTATAAATTTTATTTTTATTATTACTGTATTATTAAAATATTATTCATAATAATATTTTTAAAAATATAAAATAAGTACACAGTGTATAGCTTAGCACACATTATAGTATTATTTTAATTCCCAAATGTCAATATAGAAATTTAGTCGTAATAAAAACAAACTAACTATCATAATAACAAATGTGTCTGGTTAAAAATAATAAAATCAAATATTTTTATTTTATTTTTTTTAATAATAAAAGTTTTTATATTGTAGAATAAACTTTTTAAAAAATGTATAACTTATGTTTGGTTTTTTATTTTTTTATATATTTAAAAGATTGAATATATATACGTAAATAAATATTAATAATAATATAAAGTATATAATAATTTTAAAAATATGTATTGTTTATGAATATTCGATAAGAAACTTAAAAAATGTTTTTTTGAATTATTGTTTTGTATTTCTAACAAATAAAAACCTCTTATACTGATAAATATTTATTATATAATACATAGTATATCAAAATCTGTTATATGTTTGCCTCGAAACTAATATAAAAAAAATAAAATATAAAATTTTTATTATATGATATACTATATAAACAATTTAAATTGATTCATATAAGTTCATGTTTTTTTCTAAATAATCTCAAATAAACTGATCTAACAAACATTATTATTATTATTTTCATTTATAGTTTATATTTAGTAAAATACTATACTGATATTAAAATTATATAATTAAAAAACAACAACTAAAAGTAAAATAAAAGTTTTAATAAAACACTTGTAAAACTATCAAAAATAATTTTAATATTACTGTATTATTATTTTCATTGTTGCTAATGGTTTTTACTGTAACATAGACATAGCAACACTACCAAAAAATTCTTGAATTTAATTGCAAAAATTCCACACTTTATTGTACAATAATATTACATAATATTATAAATCAAGTAAATTATATACAGTATATATGCAGCCTATACTGTATGTGTACGGGTTGACTACTAGTACTAGTACTGTACAGTAAAAATATTAGACAATACTAAGTGTTTTAATGATTTTTTTTGCTTTTACTTTTTTTCTTATTTTTATTGTGTTTTTTGTTGTTGAGTGTAAGTATAGTACAAAAAAAATAGTTTTGTTCACTTAAGATCACTAAACATCTGTAGTTTTAGTTTTAATCCCAATTTATTATACAATAATATGTATATACAGTATAAACTGTAAAACCATTACATTATAATAATTTAGCTATTTTTGACTAAATTATTATATAGTTTGACAATTTTGGAAATATGTAAAAATAATATATTATTTATATTACTTATAAATCTCAAGATTTATATATTATTTATTATTTATAGTGTATAAGATATCTATTGTATTGTATTATAATATTGTATTAATATATATATTGTATATTGATTAT